TTTTAAAATTATTTTTAAAAATTAAAATTTAATTTGAAAAGTTTCCAATTTTAAATTTTAAAATTTTGATTCAAAAAATTTTGCAAATTTTACAAAATATCTTTTTCTTTTGTGCTAAACGATCATAGAGAAATGCGGAAGAAATATTTGCTAAAAGAAATAATAAAAAAAAGAATTTAATTTTAATCTTTTCGAAAACAAAGAGATGATTAATTAATCAGAGGGAATATTTTTTTGTTTTAGATTTATTAATTCATTTAATTTTTAATTGAATTTTTTTGATGAAATTTGATAAATCATTTTACAACAAATCAATCACTCCAACTAATTAACAATAATCAGTTACTTATAATTTAAGAAATTTTAGTTTTTCATAATGTTGTCAAACTTTACTTCCAAATAGTTATTGATTCATTTATTACTTTTACTTTATCATACTTTACTTTACTTTATACTTTGCTTATTTTGTCACATAAGTATCACATAATTGTTGATCGTAATTTTTTCAACATTTCTGAAATTCCCGCAAAATGTTTCATCCAGCAATTTACCGTATTTTTATTTCCGAGTTTTTTTTTTTATTCTGTTCTTATTCATTTATTATTTATAATATATATAGGTATAATAAAATCTAATGGATAAATAGGAAATTGAAAAGCAAGTTACGGTATGACAAAGTTATTCATGAAAAGAAGAAAACGATCAAACCCGCATAGAAAAATAGGGAATTCCGATTACAGAAACAATCAATTCAGATCTCATTTCTGAATTACGTCTAATAATATATATGATAAACTAATATATATGATAAATAATATATAATATATATGATAAATTGTCACATTTATATGTTTCAGAATCTGAAGGTATTTAAATAAATTTTGATTCAAAATATTTCAGAAAAAATTTTTACTTCAATAATTCCTTGATTCTTTTACATGTAAATACTCTTTTCTGATTGATAAAGTTAAAGCATAAATAAATGTTTATAGTTGAAATTCGGATACAGAAACAATCATTTCAAATCTCATTTCCGTATTACGTCTAATAATATATATGATAAACTAATATATATGATAAATAATATATATGATAAACTAATATGCTAAATAATGATAAATAATATATGTGATAAACTAATATATATGATAAATAATATATAATAAACAATGATAAATAATATATATGATAAACTGTCACATTTGCATGTTTCAAAATCCGAAGATATTTAAATAAAGTATGGATGTAAAATATATTTCAGCGAAAATTTTTACTTCAATAATTCTTTGATTCTTTACATCTGATTGATAAATTTTTTTAAATAAATGTTCGTTTAAATAAATTTCAATCTTATTTTCCAACTACATCTGATATTATTAAGAAATTTCCAAGTTGTTGGAAAAAGATTTTGCTCTTAAAAAAATTGCAGGTGTTAAAATTTATTAGTTTATTCTTTCTCTTTCCTTCTCTCTCTCTCTCTCTATCTCTCTCTCTCTCTCCTTAATTATTTCTAAGCAACTAACATAAATAATGAAATTTTAGCTTATAGTTTGCTAAAAAGTTATATCTTTTTGTTGCTAGATTCTATTCATTCGTTTTTTTTCCCTTAAACTGAAAAAGTATTTAAATGGAAAATTGACAACCTTAACTTTCAATTTAATTCTCTTAAAAAAAAAACTTTCAATTGATCGGTTACTTCAAATTGTCCCGAAAGAAAAGTTTTGCTGCTTGTTTGAGAGAATTCATCAGAAGTAGAATGCTTGAAAATTTCACACATCCTATTTCCTTACAGCTATCATTTTAAGTTATTAAACTTCCTTTTTAACAATCTACAATGATTATTCATTTTAGTTGAAGCTTTTTTTTCAGTGAAAAAAGAATCTGCTTGAAAAGTTTTCTTAAAAGATTCCCTTTTAATTTTATTAATTATTCATATAGGCTTAAATTATAAATAAATAAATAAATTGAACTGAAATGTGATAGCATATTATAAATGTATATTTGTTGGGGGTTTTTTCTTTTGAATCTGATTTATTAGTACCAATGGGAATATGGGAATATTGTAATTAGATGTGAAGTAGTTGTTTACGAAGTTGTAAATCCTTCCTAACCATTCTTTGTCTTCCCAATTGTTTCCACTCATTATTTTACGGGTTATTTCAAAGAGCTTAAGTTGAATTTGTTTTTTTTTTAGTAATTTTAATCAAAATACTAATTTTGAATAATTTTTCATCATCGATGTACATTTGTGATACTTCAATGAAATTTTTCAACTGCCAAAAATTAGAACAATAGGCGTAAATTGATGATTAAAAAAAAAACAACATCATCATGTTGTTGATGTTGTTGATGATATTGTTTTTTTTTCCAATCATCAATTTGCTCCTATTGTTCTTCTTCTTGACAGTTAAAAAATTTCATCAAAAATTTTTCATTTAAAAAAATTTGATGAAAAATATCCATTGATTTTGTATCATTAATTTAATTTAAAAAGTAGATCGTAAGAATCTGAAAATTTCCGATATGATTCTAATTTATAGTTTGATATTCATTAAACTTGACTGATACAAATGGTTGACAAAGCTGTAGCTTAATTTGGTTGGAAAGTTTGACGAAGATTGAAAAGACAATCGGATCGCACTTATATGATAGAAGCCAATATTGATAGTAATGTAAAAAAGGAACATTAGACTTTTATAGCGTTTGTTGAAAACGTTGAACGTTTTCTACGTTTTGCTATATTATAACAAAAATGAGTTATACTGCAAAAAAAATTTTTGATATTACTTTTGCTATTTATAAAATCAAATATCAATGTGTATTTTCATTAATTTAGTCTCTCCTAGAATAATTTTAATTTATTTGTTTCAAAATTTCTATCCGAAGTGAAATCAATCAATATACGACATCAATAAATATCACAATCTGATATGATATGATATGATTTGCACAAATTATACAGCGCAGACTCAAATCGATAGAAATGCCCTTGCATTGGTTTGTTTTATAATTTCAACAATTTTGTTTCAATACATTTTAAATTATAAAACTTTTAATTTTAGAATTAATTGACCTCCTTTGATAATATAACAGAGTAGCATTTTTCATAGCAAATATTTTAAATTTTATTTTAGTCACATTTTTAATTATAAAACTTTTAATTATAAATTTAATTTACAAAATTTTTGATTTTAAATTTTAAATTACAAAACTTTTGTTTTTAAAAAAAAGAGTAACATTTTTTATAGTAAATATTTTAAATTTTATTTTAGTTATATTTTTAATTATAAAACTTTTGTTTTTAAATTTAATTTATAAAACTTCTGGTTTAAGGTTTTTAATCGCAAAACTTTTGATTTTAAATTTTAATTTTAATTAACCTTCTTTGATAATATATATCAGTGTAATATTTTCTTTACAGCAAATATTTTGTTGGTTTTTTAAAATGATATTCCGAATTATTATCACCCTTACTTCAAACATTCAATTGAAAGCTTTTTCAAATTTAATTTAATATTTTAGCTTAGCTAATTTTTTCAGCTATATTCAAATTTCTTTATCATATTTTTAGCTGTTGTTAAATCGATTTCTAAATTATTAATTTTTTATTTAGATTATTTGTCATATAGTATTATTTTGTTTTGCTGCTATTGGTAATGTTGGAATGTTTCTGATTATTTATCGTAATTTATGCGTTAATCATTCACATCGAATATTCATTCTACTACTTCATATGAATATTGCTGATCTAATTGTAACATTTGAATATTTACCGAAACAAATTATACATTCCATTACCAAATATTGGTATGGTGGTGATATATTATGTAAAGTAAGTTTAATTAATGATAAATTAATAATTCATTTGGAAATTATTATTATCATTATTATTATTATTATCATTATTATTATTTTTATTATTATTATCATTGTTATTGTTATTATTATTATTACTATTATTGCTATTATTATTATTACTATTATTAATATTATTTGTTGTTTATTATTACTTTTATTATTTATTATTATTATTATTATTTAAATCATGAAAATTATCAAAATTATCATTATGATCTAAAGAGAAAAATATTATCATTATGAAAATTAACAAAAATATCATTATGATAATTTAAAGAGAAAAAAGAATAAAAAGCATGAAATATCCATCATTATTATCATGATTCAAATTACGAAAATTATCAAAATTATCATTATAATTTAAAGAGAAAAATTATCATTATTAAAATTATCATTAGAGAATTTTCGTTATCATTAGAGGAAGTTGGAGAATTTTCATAACTTTGATCAATTTAAATTTTAATTCAAATCGTAGAAAATGAATGCTATTCAACTTTTATTATTTTAATTATGCAAAATAAATAAGTGAAATTTATTTTCAAAATTACTTAATAGCATAAGTAATGATAAATGTGAATAAAGTAAGTTAAGCAAAAAAAATTATCAGATATCAGTAAAACGAGATATTTCAATTAAAATGATAAATAACAAAACTATTTGTCAAAAGAATTAATTCATAAATGTATGAATTAATCAATAAATTATTTTTTGAATAGATCAGTGATATGATAAAATCAAATTTCAATTTAAATATTTAAATAAAGTATAATTTTAGATGACCCGATTTTTCGACATTTTCGGTGTATCACTTTCATCGGCAGTTGTTGTATGCATGTGTATCGATCGTTGGCTTTCAGTTTGTAAGCCTTTTTCCGTAATCGATGGCATTAAACGAAATAAAATTATGCTAATTTTCGCATGGATTAGCTCTTTTATTAATAGTTTACCTCAGGTAATTTTTTTTTTGAAGCTTTAATTTTAAATTTAAATTAATTCATAGGAATGAGTTAATTTCAGGTAGTATCTCTTTATAACTTTCCTTTTTTTAATTATGAAATTTATGACAAAGAAGACGGAGGAAGGGAATAATAATTTTCAATGAATTGGAAAATGGAAAAATATTTATAATTAAGAATGATTTAGTTGTTTGTTAGATATACCCAATAATTTGGAATTGAATTCTGAAATTTTTTTTGAAAATTTTCCGGTTTGAAATAATTTTGAAATAATTTTCCGGTTTTAATCTGTTTTGAAATAATTTTCCGGTTTTAATCTGTAATCTAAAAATGGATGGGGAATTTTTCCACTCTGTAAAAAATGAATGAAAGCAGAAATGTAGAAAGCT